CGAAAGTAGAACAGGCGTGAAAACAACTTGTCACTGCATGTCAATGGATTTGTCCTGCGGCACGCCGTAGAGAAAGCGGGGTGAAACGGATCATATGAAATAACTGCCAACGGGCGTAAGTGGAGATTTCTCCGGATGACTGTTCTCACTAGGCGCTCGCTCAGCAGCCGGCGGCAACAGCACAGCATCGAGGTGGTGAGGGCGGTGGCGTTGTCTTGGGGGAAGGGGAAAAATCCGGTTGTGAATGTGGTGGTGGGGAAACTGCTGGTGAGGTGGGTGTTGGTGAGAGGGAAGGTGCTTGTCGTGGTGGTTCTGTTGGTAGTGGTGTGGAGGAAAGTTGCTGGTCTTGCTGACGTTGCATGTCTTTGAGTTCTTGCCATCGGGCTTGACATTGCTCGACTGAGAAGCCCACTCGGCGAGCCACAGAAACCCAGTTGGGACGGAGTCGGGGGTTTTCTTTGAGTTCAACCAGGCGGCAATCGGCGTCGCCGTCCCATGCGTCCCAGTCCGCTTGCTGGTTCAGTGGTGGTGGGAGTGGTTGCTTCCGCTTGCGTGTTGTAGCAGGTTGTGGAGCTGGGGGTGTTGTTGGTGTGTCGTCGGAGTCTTTTGAGAGTGGTGCTGGTAAACGGATGGGTGGTCGAGATGGTGCTGAGTCACAGGAGGAGGTGGTGGATGGTAAACGTATAGGGTGGATAGGCGGAGTTGGTAGTGGCTGAAAGTGTTGGCAGAAAGTGGGATCCGCTTGGTGGATGTGGTGGAGGAAGTGAGTGTGAAGGTGTGCAACAATATCTGTTGCTTGCCTGAGCAGGTTTTGGACCTGCGAAAGTACCACTGCGGTTTGATGTAGGAGAGTTGGGGTGTCGTTGTGTGGAGGTGTCAGTGTACTGCTCATGACTTGGAGTGATAGGGATGCACGGTCACACAGAGTCGTCACAGGTTGCTGCGGCAGCGCGCCAGGGCAGCAGGACAGCAGCTGATCTGCGGGAGCGCGTCATCACGTGGCCGTGCATATGAATTAAACGAGCATCAAATTCCCACGGGCATGGTGCGAAAATGCAAGTCCGATTGAACAATCAAGTGCATGAAACTCCGACATGTGAAAAACTTCATCAAGACAGCTGGTAAGATTCGGAATAAGATTTTTAGAGCAAAACCTGCAAAGCTTGAAAAATTGAGGGTTCAGAATTCGCGTGGCCGCTGCAAGAGGCTCTTTTTGGCTGCTATAGGCGAAGGTTGTGTGGTGGTGTGAGACAAAAGGTGGAGGTAGAGGTGGTAGTGGTGTGGAGGTGTTGGACAGTGGTGTTACGTGTCCGGTGGAGTGGAGTTTGTGGACCAGGCCAGTCCTTTGACAATGGCATGGTCCGGGTGGATCACCCAGCAGCGGCCCTTCTGGTGGAAGACTGCGCCGTGGTAATCGTTGAGGAGGTTCATGGCATGTTCTTCACCTCCGGAGGTCTATTTTGTGGCGGCACCCCAAGCAAGGAGTGTGATGATAAGGGAGTGGGAGTTCTTGTGGAGTTGCCAGGTGTTGTGGATGATACGGGCAAATTCGTTCTGATCATGGGGTTGATTGTGGGTGATGCGGACACCCTGGGCAAAAAAGCCAGGGTAGTTGGCAAAGTGGAGTGTGCTGGGTAAAAAACGACCTTGGCGTAGAATGTTGGCAATGTTGCCGACCGGGCCTGTATGGCCAGCGTTGATGTGGGCGACTTCCCGGTGGGTTGATGTGGCTCGGGAAACCGCTGGCGGTTCTGGTGTGGTGGCTTTGGTGTTGAGGAAAGGAAGTGAAATGGCGTAGTATTGGAATTGGTCGTATTGGTGAGTGGTGTCGTTCCACTTGGCGTGAGTGTATTGTCGGAAATCGGTGATCTCCTTGTAGGTGATGTTGCAGTCTGTGAGGAGAGTGGCAATGTACTGGTGCTGTGGTCGGTTGGGATTGTCCAATTGGGTGGCGTGGAATTCAAGCCATTCCAGGAGTTGGTCTGCAGGTGAAAAAGTGTGAAAGTTGGGTGGAGGTCGCCAACGGTTGATTGGGCGACGAAGGACGGCTGTGGTGGGAAATTGAGAGGGGTCGGGGTTGGTGTGTTCAGTGTTGGGGCGTAAATCGATGGGTTGTGGTGGTGAGCGACTGCGGGATGGTGTAAGGCTGGATGTGTAAGTGGATGTCGAGGGTGAACGGCGTCGCCGGGTTGCGCTGTGGTGCTTTGAGTGGTGGTGATGTCGATGTCGGCGGCGGTGGTGGTGGCGTCCTCGGCGGTGATGATCGGACTTGCGTCGGCTCTTGTGGTGGTGGCGGCGACTGCTGTGTGGTGGCTGTGGGGAAGGTGGTTGTGGTGCCGGTGAGGCGGTGGTGTCGGGCTTGTCCGTTGCAGGTAGTGAAGGTCCAGGAGCTGGTGTCGCTGATGTAATGGATGGTGATGCGGAAGGTTGGGAGCCAGTAGCTGGAGGGGTGGTGCTTTGGACCGGCAATGGAGGGTCCGTGGCTGTTGTGGTGACGTGTTGGACCGGTGGTGTGGGGTCCGATGGCATCTGTTGTGGGACTGGTGGTGGAGCGCCGATGGCTTGTGGAGGGGGCGGCGGAGGCAACGGTTGGGGTGGAGGCTGTGTGACTGGGGGAAAGGCTGAGTAAGGTTGCCAAACGCCCTGGGGGATGGCGCATTGTGGGTCTGTGGGTGGATGATGGGCAACCGCTGCTTGTTGTGGTGTTGGAAGGGGATGTGTCAGTGTAGTGGGGGGAGGAGGTTCAGCCGGTGGTGTGGGATGTAGTGGTGGCAACAGGTATGAAGGGGGAGGTGCTGCTGACGGAAATACTGGAGTTGGATGTGTGGGCTGCGGTGGCATGTGAGATGGTTGCACAAACGTCCAGGTGGACGGAGTGCCGTAGGTCATTGCAGTGGCGGTCGGACTGGGCAAAAAAGGTGGTGGTTGAAATGGTTGTGGTTGTGGGTGAGGGTATGCCGATGGTTGTGGCGAGGGAAAGGTGGGTGCAGTTGACGGCTGTGGCAGCGGCCATGTGGGTTGAGGTTGTGTGGTAGGTAATGGTGGTGGCGTGGCGCGAGCGTATGGCCACGGAAAATGCATATCGTAGTCGTAGCTATGGCACGGCGCGGCGCAGCAGCAAAGATGCAGCGGAAAAGTGCCGAGTTGTATTGTCATAATGTTGTTGAAAGTCTCATCCCTGGTGTTGATGGGGAGTATGTTGTAAAGTGGTGCTGGAGGTGAGCTTGTTGTCAGTTGTGTGCTCATGCATCTCGAATTAAATTGGAGAGCTCTAATGCCCAAACTTGAGTTCTGCTGATGAAAAAGTCACGGCATTAATATGGCAAAACGTGGAGAAACAAGCATGACGTGGAGAAATGAACATGACGGATCCGAAATCTGAGAGCTGATATCTGATGTATTCCACAAGAACCGTTTTTTGGCCCGGCGGCCAGTATGTCAGTTGATTCGGTGAGGGTGTCGGTGACTTCCTGTGAAAGTCCAGTGAGTGGTGGTGCTTTGTGGTTGTTGCTTTCCCATGCAAGATCGGCGCCCCTGTGACGGGGATCACACTCAGCACCCGAGTGGGACGGCTGAGCGAGACACACTCTGACACTGGTTTTCAGTTAACTCGATTACTCCGATGGGAAGGAAGGCGAGGGAACGGCAAGGTGGCAAAGTCCGTTGAAAAGTATTGTTCAACATTGTTCACAAGTGCACTCACACGTTCAAATGCGGCTGCAAAACGATCAAACGCGGCTGCACATCTGCGGCAGAAAAAAGTTTGGGGGTGGAGACGTGAAGAACCATGAATCAAAAACGTGGAGAGTGGAGTCACAGCTTGATAGAACGGCAGGTACGCAGGGCTGATCGGGCCCTGCTTCCCACTCTCGCCCACAGCTTCGTTGCGTGTGGTAGGGCGAGAGTGCCACACGCCCCTGCCTGTGAGAAATAGTGTTGGAAAACCCTTTGTCCAGGGGTGGACACACACACACAAAAAAAAAACGGTTGATCTTAGATGCCTGCATATGCCTGCAGCAATTGGCCAATGACAATCTTTATATGTACAAACTACAAACGTTCATTTTATCAAGACACAACTAGTTCTTACCAAGTCCTCTGACAAATAGAAAGATGTCCTGAGGAATGAAAACACCAACGGACACCTATGTCGAAGAAGAAGGTGACTCAACAAGTCGGTCACTGGATGTGATGGTCGTTGGTGACAACTAATGTGTGTGTCTACCTTTCTTGGATGAACTTGTTCGGAACTGGGAGGTAAATCACCGGAAGGGTGTTCACCTCTTTCTGTTTTTCGGTTTGTTACGCGAAGTGCCTCGTGTGAGGCGGTGCATCTTGTAGAGCGAGTTCCTCAATTAGTGGGGTTGTGAAAGTCTCTCCCCAAAACGGAGAGCTCACTTGGTGGCTGGGAAAATGGACAGTTTTCTGGAGTAAAAAAAACATTTTTGACCTAAAGCTTGACTGCAATCCACTCATGTCAGAAGGCTCTGAACCTTCCAGCTTCTTGCCCATGTTTCTACAGTTCAAAAAAGTGACAGTTTAAATTTGATGTCAATGCGCAGTGTTAGTTGAGCGCTGCCAATGTTGGGCGCTGTCTGCTCCTGGTGTGGGTCATCCCCAAAGGTTGCATCAAAAAGTCCAAGGAACCTTTGCTGGACAAGATGTGAAGTGTGGCAAGTTCTTCACTGGAGTTTCAGGCACGTGTTCTGGGGCATGCTTCAAATTGTAAAACCGTGGAGATTTGGAGGAACACCTTTGACTTCCAATGGTGCCAAGGGAGTGCTTTGGAGCATCACAGGTAATGGATGGTAATGGTCAATATTTTCACACTAAATACAACTTCGCAGGAATAAACCACAATGAATTTCGTTTTTCTTGCAATTTTTCGAGCAACAGCTGCTTGGAGGTCTACACTCATCAAACACAAAGGATCATGTCCAACTTCCCATTGGATAGCACCTGTGCCAGGAGTTGTGGGCGAAAGTTTTGCTTACGGTATCTTACATGTTGTTGACGAAGGTGTGGCAGCCCACATTTGCGCAAATGTGATGCTTGAACTTGTCATCAAGCCTGACACAACAGCTCCCACCCTCCTGCAACCCAAAAAACAAATTTGATGCCTTCCCAGATCTGTCTGGGTTTAAGGCTAGGCATGTCAGGTACCTGGTCCCTGCAGTGCTTGAAATCTAAAGACCAAATACAGGAGTGAGGACTACACATTGCTACATGCCTGGAGAACCTGGAAAAGGTTTACCAAGTCATGGAACAACACCGTCCTCACATACCAGAAAATACTTTCTGGACGACGCCCAAGGCGCGTGTGGGTGGGAGACGAGAGTCTGACTGAAACCAGTCAGGGGGGCAGTGGCAAGATAATGTCAAAATTGGGTCGTCAAACTCGACACCGTTTCCGATGTGTCGCCCCGCTTCGCTCCTTTCACTTCCAGCCACAGGCCTTCGCCGTGTGCGCAAGGAAATCTTGTCCTGTGACATCGCCATCGCCTTTGGGGTTTTCCTCCACAGCCATTGATACACACGACGTTGCAATTGAAGGGGAAAACACATACATAAACATACAGTGACATGGACATGGCACCGGCGCCACTGTACTCCCGCGGGTTCGCCAAAGCTGGCATTGTGGCTCTTCAAATCTTGGTAGTCAGCATAAGCTTCATCCAAGTCTTTCTCGAAACGAGCCGCCAATGGATCAACTTTAGAAGTCGAAGGCTTCTTGGCGCGCTTGGCATTCTTTGCCGCAGGCTTCTTCATGATGGCCGCCACCTTCATTGCCTTCATGGCTTTGGATGCCTTGCCTGCCATGGCCTTTCCGATGCGAGATGCGTGCTTTGAATGACTTGAAATCTCAGCTTGAGCTCTCACAAGTCCACAAAGGGACAAGCCAACATAGAACAATAGAATACAAAACATAAACACGAAAAATCAACGTTGTCGAAAAGTCGGTTCCACCAATGAACAATCTTCTATTTTGCAGAAAATCGACTGACTCAGTTGCGGTTTCTCCGACGCCTATAGTGATCCCGGAGGGCCAAGCTTGTCGAGCACCGCTTGGGTGATTATCTCTCAAGACATGTGACCATGCAAAGCTACGCTTCAACAAGCCAGCGAATCATGCCAAGCTCTTGCTCAAGGAACCTAGCAGCGACTTGAACTTCCACCGTGTTGAAGAGAATGTTAAGGAGCAAAGTGTGACACCACCACAGTCCCAGGCCGTAACATTGGCAGCAAAATTGTCGTCACCCAAATCTCCTGAATCTCGCTGACACTTTTGTGAAACACTCGTGTAGGGTACTCTTGTGGGACACTCTTGTGGGAAACTCTTGTAGGGAACTCTGGTGGGACACTTTTTGGCAACACTCTTGTGGAGCACTCGTGTGGGACGCTCTTGTGAGGTACTCTTGTAGGGCACTCCTTGAAACACTTTCTCGCAACACTCTTGTGTAAGTCTCTCGCAGGACACTCTTGTGTGGCACTCTTGTGGGACACTCTTGCAGGACACTCTGGCGGGACACTGTTGCGGAACACTCTTGCGCGATACTCTTCTATAGGCCACTCTTGTGGAACATTCTTGTGGGCCACTCTTGTAGCACACTCTTGTGGGGACAACTCTGTAGGACACTCTTGCGAGATACTCTCGTGGAACACTCGTGTGGGACACTCTTGTCATCTATCTATATCTAGATCTGTCCATCCATCCATCCATCCATCCATCCACTCATCTATCTATATCATCTATCTCTCATCTGGCTATTTATCGGTTTATCTCATCTAGCTTCCATCCGTGTAGCTGTCATTCTATGTCTCTCTCTCTCTCTCTCCCTATGTATCTATCCAACCATCTACCCACCTGTCTGTCTTCGACTGTTACTTCCATACTTGCGTCGTGGTTCTCAAAAACTAGAGGCACCTCCTCAAGCACGTTTCCGGGTTTGAGCTTGTCCTTCTTGAGCTGGAGGTCGATCCAGACGTGCGCCAGCTGTTCCCGCTCATTGTCTCGGGGGACCCAGGAGGGCCCTTGCTATACCACCTCAATGAGCTTTTGCCGCATAAGCGGTGGTAGTCGAACATCCGCTCCATGGAGGCCTGCGATCACGCGGGCTCGGTCGCACGCGCCCAGCGCGCGTCATTCCAAGGATCGCGCAGTCTCGCGGGTCATGTCTCCATCGCGGTCGGAGCTGGGTGCCCATTGGACCTCGCGACGATCAGTCTGTTCTGCACCACTCACGGCAAAGGCGGTCAGGGAAGGCCTACGAACTTTTGTTTTACCGTCGCAGGACGGTTTGGTTTGCTTTTTGAGTGCGCAGCTAGCCGCAGAGACTCCCGGTACGCCCGCGTACCGCCGGTCCACCCAGTCGCGCTGTTCACCTGGGCACGGCTGCGTCTGTCGGACGCCCTTCGCTTCTACTGGCTGGGCGCCCAGCGAGCGTCCTGGCGCTGTTTCTTTTTCTTGGCGGCTTGCTTTTCGTTGGAAGCCACGTGCTTTGCGTGGTCTTTGTGCTCTGGGTCCTGCCGCGGTCTGCCGGGTGTCATTTTAGTTTGTGGTGCTGCGCCGCCGCGCGCCGCGCCTTTCGGATGGCCGCGCGCTTGGCGCGCTTTGCCTCGACCTTTCTTGCTTCTTGATGTATCAGATACGAAAGCCTGCATCGGCTTCTTGCGCAGGAATTCAAGTGTTGACGGAATTAGATCAAAGATCTCCTGAACATGAGGCAAGTCAGGCGTCCGATTCTCAATAAGCTCATCTTTCTCATCACCCAAAGCAGAGGGCGGCAAGTCTTTCTCCACCTTCTCATCTGGTTGATCTTCACTAATCGCTTTGAAGATCTCCTCACCCAAATCTGTGCTTCCAATATCTTTCCATTCCTTTTTCGCACGCACCATCAATCCAGACAAGAAAGTCGCCCTCTGGCGCCTTACATCATCAGTCATCGTGACATCGAAGAAAGCATAGACTGAATCTCCTGCAGCAAGCATCAATCCATCAATCACATCATCTTCGATTCCGTTTCTTGCCCACTGAAGCAAGGGTGCTCCGATGCTGCCAGTCAAGGGCTGGGCGTTCACTACCAGCACCTTAAACCGAAGGCCTCCAGGAGTGAGTACCACCTTCTCACTAGTCATCTTCTCATGCGTCGTGAAAAACTCCTTGTAGATGCCATAAAGGCACGGATCACTGAGTTGCGGATGTAACAACTCGAATAGATCAAACGGGTGCTCAGTTCAGTCACCTCACCATGTACCTTGCTGAACTCATAGGCATCCAATTTGAGGCTTGCACGGACAACCTGCGAAGCTTTGTGGAGAGGCTCCTGGTTGCCCTGGGCAATGTCTTCAAGCATCTTTTCAATGAACGACCCCACCTCCTGCATGTCCAGGAATCCCTCGGATGGCCAAGAGAGTCTTCCCACACCAGCGAATCATTCTGGTGTCCTTTCATGACTTTCGAAATCTCCACGAGGATCTACGGGGCTCAGCTCTCCCTCCAAGCTCCCTCAACCTCGAGTAAACCACATCCAACGGCCTTCCATCAAAGACTGACCTCAAAACTCCCTGCACTGTGCGATCAAAGAGTTTCTGGACTTCAGTCCCCTCAGCTCCACCTTTGTTTGCAGACGATGCCGTCTTTGTGAAGACGGTCTTCAAACTTTACCTTCCCGGGCCTCCCGCAAGGCAATTGCTTCCCTGCGTCTCTGCGGCCAGCCCAACCCGACCACAGGTCTCCCGCCCCGACTTCTTTAGGTCCTCCCGCCGCGTCTTTTCCAGCTGCGCCGCGTTCGCGGTAGGACACTCTTGTGGGACACTCTCGCGTGACACTCTTGCGGGACACTCTTGTGCGAAACTCTTGTGAGACACTCTCACTCTCATGCTAGACTCTTGTGCGACACTCACAATTTTTGTAGGATAACCTCGTGGGACAAAATGAGCGTTTCGAAAACCAGCGTTTCCTTCGAAACGTCCTCCAAAACTCAAGCGTCAACTCTCCAAAACGTGAGAGAGTCCGGAGACTTCCTCCAAAAGTCATGCACCAAGTCTCCAAAACGAGCGTTTCATACAATGACAAGACTTCCTGCAAAAGTGAAGCGGGAAGTCGCGTCAGAGCAAGCCCACCAATCCCAACGGTCGCATCTTCACGGTTCCCTGCACCTGCCACGACAATTCAACTTCGACACCTCCCATGCGCACAAAATACTTCACCTGCCGCGAAAAGTGACGACATGACATCTTCATGTCTTCCGCAGAAATTCCACCACACCACACGGAATGATTTCGACACTTGCGGAACACCCGCATCCACAAAAATCGTCACTTTAGCTGAGACCTGTCACAAAAGCACGGCTCCAAGGCAACAACCTGGAACGCAAATCCCACTGTCACAGCGACATCCAACACCTCCAACAGACCACCCTGCGAACGCCGATCCCATGGTCACAGCGAAGGCAACTGAGGATCGCACAAAACGCTGCACCTGCGCAGCAAAATTATCCTCCACAACATGTTACGTTTCTACGCTAATTCACACGAACTTGCCACTTCATTCTTTCATCCAAAACCTCCTCCAAAAGCTTCCCCCACTGTCACGGCCATATTGATCACATTCGGCCGCTGGCAGACGGTGTATACGAACACAAAGCCAACGTCACACGAACAACGCTCCAACCCTCAGACTCCCAAAGTTAAACAGAACGGCAGGCCCTTGAAGTGCACTTTTTCACCCATTTTGAGTGATCTGGAGGTGCATTTTACTGCCAAGGACATCTCAACTGCTGTGCTCTGAAAACATGCATATAGGACTTTAAACACAAAAAAATAATCCTAGAAGACTCTTTGGTGAGTAAACCCCCAAAAAACAATCCAGAATATATTTGTTCGGATGTTCCTTGTGGACTGCGTCCACCAACTACTGTTGACGGATGATAAGGTGAAGACTTGCAGAACTTCTCCATTTCTGCGGCTTTCATAGGGAGATTCCAAATAGGGAGCACACTATTCTCCATCCACGCCCAGTGAGCACATCTGTGAGGCCAACACGCGCCTGCCAGGCTTCGTTCATCCATTGCTCGGCGGCCGCGGGGTTCCCAGCCTCCCCGGACGGTGCGGGAGGATCACCAGCGGGTGAAGGCACGTCGACGTGGCTATAGGTTCGACATCGAGAAGGTATAGAGTCTAGAGAGTGGGGAGTTCAGTGAGTTTCCCTAAACCAAGGCCATCAGGCTTGCAACGAGTCGGAAACACAACATGAAAAGCTCAGCGGAGCAGGCCTGACCAACTATCTGCTGACACAGTAGATTGGGCGTGAAATTTGAAAGGAGTTCCATGATGTTCAATGTAGATCATTGTAGACCCAAGAACTACAACAGCAGTATAGATGGACAACATGTTTCAACCCCGAGTCGGTAACTGTCAGCAATGGAACTCTGAGTATCACTGAGTATCTCGCAACTGCATCGCAACGGCATCAGCCTTAAGGTAGGGTTGTTTGACAGTTGTTAGTTGTTTAGACATGTGCAAACCACTTGTTGGTCAAACGAACTTGTTCCACTTTGCAAGTTCGTTGGGAACCAAACATCGTTGCTTGACAACTCATCAGGAACTCGAGAACTCACGAGAACTCTCAGGCTCCAAAAAGCTTTGCAGTGTCGTTGGCACAGCTGGTTGTCTGGCAAAAAAGTTCCCTCTAGGTGGATTAAGTCCAAAACCCAAAGCTTAGGGGAACCATGGGGAACCTTAATCTTAACTTGACAAATGTATACTATAAATGGACACATCTGCACCAACACATTTGGTTTGCACAAAGGACTCGGGCACTGGAACAAACGACTTCACCTTCATCTGCTACTCGCAAATCTCTACGACTTTTCAACTGGACCAATTGATGTTGGAGTCTTTCCAATTCTTCATAGTCTGTCCTCAACCGCTCAAGGAGAAAGGCATCAACATCTCTCTCTCTCTCTAACTCACATGGTGGGGCACAACGGTGCGAGGAGAAGACATGGGCTCCGCCCCCTCCACCCCTTCCTCCCACGCCTCAGCAGCGACGTGCATCAGCTCCTGGAAGGTCTGGCCTGTCGGCTCCACCTGAAACAAGACGCCCAGTGGACTCCGATCGAAGGGTGATGAGGAAAGGACGCGCAAGACCAAGTGCTGGGGAAAACATATACAGGAGATCATGAAAAGGAGTGGCAATGGAGAGAGGGGGAGAGCGGGAGAGAGACCATTCTAACTACCACAAGTCTATAATAGCGCACGTGTCTTGGGGGGTTGGAAATGATTTGGCTGTTCTGCGGGCAAATTGCATTTCCTTCAAACTCATTGCATGATATTCTAAGGCCTGGACCAGGTGGAATGTCTGTCCAGGTGCAGGGTGCAAAGGAAGAGTAAATACATGTTAATATTATTGTCGTAATTTGTAAGGCTTTCCAGGAATTGGTAGCTGTTGGTGTGCGCGAGATCATTCCAAAGCTTTTGCAAGACTGGCATGGCGCATGGCTCTTACCATTTTAAGAAACCTATATCATATGGGTGTTGATCAAAATAAAGGTATGTGAGGCAGCTACAATCGCCGATCAACCGCGAATCAATCGCGACCCCAACGGTGTCAATCGCGGGAGAGTGCTCTCGTATGCAACACTATTTTACGCAAAGAATCGTCGAAACATTGCTACATATCACAGTATTTAGAGACATGGCGTGAGCCAGGGCCTACACAGGCGGGTTTAACAATCGCGGCACAATCGCGGATCAATCGCGAACCAATCGCGGATTTCGTCGACATTTTTTTGAGAATTGAATTGATCTGGGCTGGTAGACTTTGAACTTTGTTGTTCTGATTCTTCTTTGCTATATTGGCTATCACTATTGAACACAGTGTCTAGGCAAACCCGAATACAGTGTAAGGCTGAACTGTAACATAATTATCATGATCATTTCTGATACAACAAATGTTTGTCTCAATCGTGAACCAATCGCCGATCAACCGCGATGCAGGGTTTTACAATCGCAAATGCTGAGATACACATGCCCTTTCATAATTCTTAGATGTGCATTTACGATCGGCTCCCATATCAGCAAAAGGCATTTCTCAAACAACCCTGCTGGATGCGTGACGACCCGGTGATCAAAAGAACTTGAATACGATTTAATACCTTCATGTTTGAAGAGAAGAGGAGCCGCCCCTGGTGCACTAGGATCATGCCATCAGGAACAAGATCTTTGGGGTCAGTGCAGCCACTTGAGCAAGCCTTACATCATCAAAGTACAGGGGAGAACAATCAAAGATTTGCTAAGAACCGGGGGAACAACAAAAAGAAATCCAGGTCCTAGAAGCAGATTGACCCAGTTTGGGTAATCAACATCACCCCATCAGAATAACCAGGATGCCCACCCAACACCAGCACAGTTCATCAAGGCATATGAGGATGCCGCCCCGCTCTCGTCTACCGTCTTCAGTCCTTCCGATCGGAAGCGAACTCACTGAGCTGAGCTCCACTGATTCACAAAAGGAACAGCACAGCAGCACAACCCTGGCTTAGTGGGTTTCTGTAGCTCCTGAAACGCTGTCGTTCTGCTGCGGAAAACACTCATTGGGCTCGCCTCCAACGCCCTCATGCGAAACAGCCAACGCTCGGCTCGTTCCACATCGGCGCTGGAGGCGCAGGAGGCCTCGGCAGATTGGTTCTACTTTGGGTTAAAACAGGCTGCTTTTTCTAGTCAGAAAGAAAACAATCATGAAGTCTTCTGGAAAGTCTATTGAGAACCTGTAACAAAAGCATGAAGTGTTTCATAGTGTTTCTGAAAAAAAAAGAACACCTTCTTTTTGAATGTTCCAGTCCCAGCAAAGATTGTTAAGGAGGTCACACTGTCATGCACTCAGAAGGATGTACACCGGGTGTTTATGTTTGTTTGAATTGACAATGTATTGCTGAGTGCACACCAAGCTTAGGGGGGCCATCTAAATGGGATTCCAAATGAGTAGCCAAAAAATCAGAAGAACACCCAGTGGAACTGGGTTGTGATTTGATTCAGTCCAGTGGAACTCTGCTTGTGTCACAAATCAACTTACGACTGGCCTGTGACTGTGCAAAACACATCCCGTAACTACCCACTGATAACCGCCATGGGCCCCGTATGGTTTTGCGGATCTCGCTTAGCTAGCTGCGCGCTTGCCAAGCTCCTGACCGTGTGGGCACCGATGGCTGTGACCAAGCGCTTGTAATATGACTTGACTTGATATTCCAATTCCAAAGCCTTGACAACACGCAGAACTTCCAACCCAATCCCAAAGTTTCAGTGACAAATCCGGCCTTTTAAACCTTTTCAACTCTTTGAGCTCACTCGGGTTGACTTGCAAAACCGTTGCTGTGATATCTACAAACCAAAAGGATTTAAAGAAGGAACCTATTTTCCCAACGACCCGCAGTCCTCCCGCCGTTCCTGGGCGCAGTTCTCCCCTCCCCCTCCTCCCCCTCTCTCGGCTCGAGGCGATGATCGCTCCGAAGTGCGGTGCCTTTGGCCTCGAGGCTCTCGCGTCGCGGCGACGCGGCGAGTCGGGCCGCGGTGGGTCGCGGCGGATCCGATCCTGGACGCCTGATGGACGGCTCCATGAGCACGACGCATTTGGAGCTTCAAACAGAATTTGGGGGGGGCTCCCGTATACAGCTCCCATGGAAGTCTCCATTTGGCACTTCAAAAGTCCCTATTTTTGGAGCAGCAACCTTCGGGTGACTTCCAATACTTCCATGGGGCACATTGAGACGTCAGACCGACAATCCTTCGGTTGGACGTACCGACAGCAAGTGGAGCAGTCGGCCACTCGGGAAGACCATGAACAATCCTTTCCCGTTCACTCATGGAGTGTCCATGGACAAAACCACCGTGGAGTGAAAACATGCGGTGTTAAAAGGTCACCAGCGATAAATCTCGTTGCTTGCAGCGACACCATCGGTTCGTTCTCAGGCCAACCCGGAAGCAGCATGTGGCCTCAAGCCGGCATCGATCATCTCGTAGAGAGCATCCTGAGAGGATAAATGGTTTTCGGGCACCTCACACATCCTCACACCATTCAATGGGCTCCCGCTTGCAGTACGAAGAGGCAGCGTATGTATTAATTATAGAATATATATATAGATGATACACTGTTGTGCTCACATACCTTGATTATTGATGATCTCTTCAATTCCTTGAATCAACCGAGGAATACTTTTTCACAGAGGCGATGCTCTCATTCACCAAATCGGTTTTCAAGACAGATTGACATCTGGATTGCAGATATTGCAGGGCTACCAAACCCCACTTTATGCACATACAGTGGTGGAGCCAAGCAGCAAGGGGACCCTGTTACTTTGACCACCTAAGAAAAGCTCTCAAGCCTAGTTTGACCCGACCTATGTGTGCATCAATGAAATTAGGAAAAATCATGAAACATGAGTGTCCGATATAGGATCCTGTATGGTTCCCTCCTTAATTATACTAGAGGAGCAGAAGACAGGAAGTAATTGAGAAGTGCAAGGCTTTTGGGGTGAGGCTGAGCAAACAGAGCTTTGGACCTGCAAAATCAGAGAACCTCAAATGACCTGACCTGACCTCCAAACTACCCTCTCCTGTTTCTCCTGGGGTATTGGAAGCAGGAAACCTTGGGGAAGACCGGGGAACGCAAGCTTGGATGGGCTGGTCAACGCTCCCGGTTTCGTCCCAGGGACGCCCATGTATAAACTATATCGAACTATTCTTTCCACACAAGGATTTGTCATGAAGTTTTTAGTGATCAGAAAATGTTGCCGTTTTGAAGGTGCCTCAGAAACTATATCAAAAGCAGCGGCATCCTGCACACACACAAGCAGTATAAAATCAAGATCTGACCCCACCCAAGGGGTCGTAAAACAACACATGAAGGTTACACGGTATACCGATGTATATACCGGTCTCATTTTGTAGATATAATTGAACCACACGTGCACAAACCATCTAAGTACGCTAAGTTTGAAGACATGTTCAACTCACCCTTGAATTGAACAAAGTACAAACCCTTGAGTGTTTGAGTACAGTAAGTGCGAGTGGATCTTAATCAGCGAAGTTTGAAGCTATCACTGACGGTCCATAAGCGGCGTAGCGTCGGAACGGAAACCGCACCTTTTCTAGTCGCTTGATCCTTGAGCCAAAGTACATATGGTACATACATATATGTACATGTTGCACTGTACATGTCGCTGCACTTCCATTCGCACCCCCCATGTGAACGGCAACAATATGTTCCGATCACACACGAAAATTTAGGGATGTAAGTGCTACAAAGGAAATTGTATGATTTGCCGCGAGACTCATATGAGGCTCATACTACAGAACATGCTGGACTAAAGCGGACTTTTACATATAAAGTGTGCAACTATGGCTCAGAACCTATAAAAAAAAATCGAATTGAACAAGTGAGACAGTCACGAGGCCTCGCTCAGTGTCCACTCAAAAGAGCATCGCTTTGATGTAGATCCGAACTGGTGACTTCCACGTAGATGTCACATCGGCAACTGACTTCACACTTCTCAAAAGATGTAGGTTTTAGTTTGGATACACTTACAGAACGGCAGGTCGGAGAGACAGTCGGTGATTGTCTTCCTTCCATTATGCTCATGGTATCACATCAGATTGATGATTTGCAATGATACACTTACAGCGTTTCAGGTCAGATAGACATCCGGTGAATGACTTCCTCCCTGGTTTGCATGGTACCCTCATAGTCGTTCAAAGAAATCACCACTGGTGATAACCTCTCCATCCACGATGATCCCAGCTGCCCTGAGCATCCCACCGATCATCTTCTCCCTTCTTGGACTTTCCCTTGGACTTGCTCTTTCCCTTTCCCTTTTCAGAAGGTTGAGGTACTTCGCGGTGTTCTTGCGTTAGCGCCGGCCTCCAAGATGTTCCAGATTGGCCTCCTCCTTTGGAATGTCCTCGGGATGATGAAGAAGTTGTACCTTCTGCTGCATGTGTGTTGGCGGCAAGATCTTCCTTCAAGGCTTGCTCGAACACATCGGTAGCACTGGATGGTGATTTATCATGTGATCTGGCTTTTAGAACAGCCTTCGTCTTGTTCTCCTCTGTTGAAGGTTTTGGCTCCTCACTTGGTGCTGACGACGGCTTGGCCTCGGTTCCGGGTGTAGATGCTGGCTTTGCCTCAGCTCTTGACGAAGATGCTGCTTTCGCTTCAGACTTAGTCGTTGATGTTGACTTAGCTGTTGCCTTGGCCGCCTGCTTCTTCTTGCCCTGAATCTCCTTGGCCCTATCTCCAAAGCCTAGACGATTGGTAAGAGCTTGAACATGCTTATGTTCTACCACGCTCATCCATCTCTCTGTATGTCCAACGTTGGGGTTTCTGGCCATTGACTCTATGACTTCCTGAGCTTGTGGGGGTAACCTGATCTCATGTTGATCAATGATCAACAGAATAGACTTCTCCCACTTGCCCTTCATTCTCGAGTACATGATGTCCAGAGGATCAATCACCTTGTGGTTGGGTGATGTAACGTCGGTTCTAAAGTAAGAATATGTCCGACAACCGTAAATCGCATGGATGCACTTCTGTACCAATTCAGTCATTGCGCTGGCTTTCTTCACTTTCAACTCCTCAATCTGGGCATCAGTCAAGTCGGTGGAGTGTTCGAAGTTGCCATATTCCTCCTTGAAGGAGTTCGGAGTATGACCAAATGATAGGATCATGAGTGCTACCTTGCAAATAAATTGCTCTCCTCTGAATCGATGCCAGGCCTCCTCAGTTGTAATATTGTTGTCGTTGGCAAAGATTAACATCATCTCATCTGTTGGATCCAATGGTCTCCCATCGCCATCGATTTCAGTGGAATCTCCTGTACCGAACTTGCTTATCACATCCAGACGCTTCTTTTTCCAATTTGCTTTGAAGTCGGTAAGGCTGGTGCAATAGTAGCTCTTGTACATCAGGGAGATCATGCTCAGCACACATTTGACCACGTACCTATCCATCAAACCCGATGCTTTCACGGAGACGTCCTGACAGTAGGCTCTCTCTTGATGCGCATAGATTCGAGGTTCCGGTACTCGACAATAGATGGGGAGATCCTCGTTGTCTTTTCCTTCTTCGGGATTGAACTCGGTCGCTCCATGCTGTGCATAGTATCCCGGTTCATCACGATCTGTCGGTCGATTCGCCTCCGGATGTAAGTCGTCGGTGACGTCTTCATCCTCGGGCTCACCATCTTGGCGTTTCTTCCCCTCATATTGTTGTGTGCTCCTCTGGATCTCGATGATCATATTTCGTTCATCTTCATCTTCTAGATCAGAATCACGACCGTAGTCGATCTCGTCCTCATTGAAAGATGGGGTCTCGACATTGTCACTCTTGAAGTTTTCTGCACCATCAGACGGTTTGGAAGGATCTAGATTGTCCATGTCCTCGTCGTCGTCAGCTGCTTCAGTTTGAGCGATGTCTTCTTCCCAAGCCCTTCTGATCTCGTCCATAGTGGCCTGGTCCAAAGTATCTTGAACATCATCCTCAGGCTCCTTCTCTTCCTTCTTTTCCTCTTCATCGTCGGTCACAAGATCAACGGGTGAATCGGAAATGACAGTGTTGCGAATACCACACGAGAGTAGTCTGCCTTGACAAGATAGACACACGGACAAAGATGAAGAAGTCAAATGCATACATGATGGACACAAAATGGTGCCATCCACGTTGCGATATCCTTCACATGTTCTGGAGATGATTTCGTCCCAAGTTTCCTCACTGATGGAATCCTCGATCAGCTCTCCATTGTCATCGAATTTTACTTCATCGATAAGGGACACGAGCTTTTGGACGTTGTCATCTGTCGCCGAGGCTGACTTCGTGACTTCGTCGGCTCTCTCGAGGATGGTATGCTTCTGAGCAACCCAAAGTCCATGACGTGCCGCTAGAACAACTTGCTCTCCGGTGCTTCCCAGCAGGAGTCTCCTCCATGCCTGAACGTGGTCGTCCCAATACCAAGCACCTCGTACACATCTCCATGGAACTTCTCTAAAGACAACAGTGTAGGAATTCTCCGAAATTCTTCCCCCCAAGCTTCCTCAAAGTCATGATTGGAACATAAAGGCATACGGGCATTCCCCCCCTTGGCCATCTTGATCTCAGAATCTTTGATGATCGGTCATCCCACGGCGCAAAGTGGTTGAAGAAAACACTACCTCTATATCCCTCCATTCCACCAGGGACAATTCCTAGTTTCATAATTGATTCAATATTGGAAAGCGATGTCATGTGAAAGCTTCCTCCAAGCTGCATTGCCACATTTTCTGGAATGAGATGTGAAGTCCACACAGGATATATTGACACGTCCTCTTCAAGAACAGTCTCTCTTCCTGAATTGTGAGAGGCAACAGCTCGAATTGCACAAGGAGCGATCCAACGTTCATGCTTCAGAAATGACGGTGCGTCTGTGCCGTAAAACATGAGGTTTGCCCAGTATTGCCTTTCCTCTTCGATTGAGACATCCTCCTTTGAGATGCGAATGGCGGCAATCTGATAGCGTACTCTGTTTTGCAACTTCTTTGCATGCCACATCGCCTTGCACAAATATTGGTATCGATCTGTCTTGGTATCTTGCTCACGTTGAGTGCCTGAGATAGTACTGATATTGACACCATCGCTGAAGACATGATCATATTCCAGGATCTCATCGATGTTCACCCATCCACCCTCATTGCACTTCGGGGACACATGTGGTCTTCGACCGCGGTGCGATTGAATCCCATTATGCTTTCCCACTCCATGCCTGAGTAGTCTATTGAGTCTATGGCTAATCTCGCTGATCCACTGACTCTCCTCGCTGGTCTTGTCGATGCGAATTGCTGGGTTCATCTTTGGTGGATCCGTGAAAGTTGCATCTCTCTTCGGTCCATTCCAGTACTCCACATAGAATGTAACTCCATACTGTGGAATTATCTCGATGTTTCCTCTATCGCAAGCTACCTCAATCTGCCGATATCCAGCTTTTTGAAATTGTTGTGGATCAGGAGCAAGGTCCTTTACTTTGGGCATCTTTATTCC